ATCAGGAGGGACCAGTCCCTGGAGAAGGACATCATGCTTGGTAAAGTAGAGGGTCAGTGAAAAAGAGGAAGACCCTCAATGAGATGGATTGCAACCGTGGCTGCAACACTGCGCTCAAGCATAACAAGGGTCATGAGGATGACGCAGCACCAGCCAGTGTTTCGTTCTGTTGTACATAGGGTTGCTATGAGTTGGAATCGACTCAACGGCATCTAACAACAAAAGACAATAGATAAGTTGTAACTTTGGTGAAGAGTATGACAGTACACAATGCTAGGGAAGTCAGCACAACTTGACCAAGGCAAAGTCATAGAAGCTTCATAGGCACATCCAAACTCCCTGAGGGACCGAGTTACCGGGCTGAGGGCTGGGCTCCGTGGTCTCTGGGATGTCTAGATCAGTTGGCATAACATAGTTTATAAAGAAAATGCTCCACATCCTACTTGGTGAGTAGCGGCTGAGGTCTTAAAAGCTTGTGAATGGCCATCTAAGATACATCTACTGGTTTCATCCTAGGTGGAGCAAAAGAGAATGAAGAAAACCAAAGAAACAAGGGAAAGGTTAGTCCAAAGGACTAATGGACCACAACAACCACGGCCTCCACCAGACTGAGTCCAGAGCAACTAGATGGTGCCTGGCTACCACCACTGACTGCTCTGAAATAATAATCACAATAGACGGTCCCAGACTGAGAGGGAGAAAAAAGTAGAACAAAATTCAAACTTACAAAAAAAGACCAGAATTACTGGTCTAACAGAGACTGGAGAAACCCCGAGAGTATGACTCCCGGACACCCTTTTAACTCAGTACTGAAGTCACTTCTAAAATTCACCCTTCTGCCAAAGATTAGACAGGACTATAAAACAAATAATAACGAAAGTAGTTCAGCCATGTATACAAAACTAAAAGGACACACCAGCCCAAAAGCAAAGACCAGAAGGCAGGAAGGGACAGGGAAATTGGACAAATGGAAATGGGAAAACCAAGGTCGAGAAGGGGAAAGTGTAGACACACTGTGTGGCTGACAACCAATATCACAGTACAATATGTGTATTGTTTAATGAGAAACTAATTTGCTCTGTAAACTTTCACCTAAAGCACAATAAAAAAAAAGTGACATAGGTACATTATATGACTAAACTCGCAAGTATATATTTTTTAATCTGATACACCAGCACATTTGTTATAGTGCTGAAATTTGGAAACTCTCATAAGTGAATGGAAGATTTTCCCCTATTGTTGAATATTCAGGGGGGTTTTATTTATTCCCATTGCAAACAATGTTCCAAGAAATATCTTTGCACACTTCTTCCCTAGGCACAGGTTCTTGTACTCTATATGATAGATTTCTAAAAGTGGTTTCCTGGATCAAGGGACAATTTTCAAATTTAATCTCTGTTTCCATATTATTACCCAAAGGTTAAAGCAATTTATTGCCCTTTGCCAATTTTAACTTGGAGTCCCTGGGTGGCACAAATAGTTAAGCACTTGACTACCAGCCAAAAGGTTGGCAGTTCAAAACCCACCCAGAGTACCTCAGAAGACTGGCCTGGCAATCTGCTTCCAAAATTGACTCAACGGCGACTAACAACAAAAATTTTCCCTTAATGTCCTTCTCCTGATAAGGTCTTAGAAAAATTATTTCAAGTATAATATTGCCCAAGGCAATAATCTGTTACTCTTAAAGTTATTCATCATTGTAAGTATTCAAGTAGAGGGTGGCTTTTACAAGGATGCTGTCTTAAAATTTTTGATGTTTATCCAGGGACTTGAAGACTCGCAGGAGATCATCGGGACTTGAGGACCCATAGGAAATTGTTGGCAAGGGTCTGGGAGTTACTAAATTTCCTGAAATTATGTTTATGATATTGAGTTTGTGTGAACTGATAAAACGTTTTACAAAGGTTTTCATCAGATCGTCTAAAAGCACATAACACTACAAAACCAGAAATGTGACTATAGAGGACTTTATAAAGTTGTGCAGGATATGGAATTAAATGGCCCTTCCTCTCCTCCTGACTTTATAATTAGTATCTGCTGTTCTTTATCCTTTAGGCATGAGAGATTCGATTCTCCACACCAATGCCCATCCCCACTCCCAGGCACACTTGCACATTTCTCTCCCTAGATGTAAATCATTGCCGCCATCTTTTTTTCATTCCCACTGAATATAAACTGACAATAGATTTATTTTCGTCTCTCGGATGGGACCAGAAACAGTTTCCTTTGATCCACTTCACTACATGCACAGATTGGGGGCATGGTTTTTCCTTCTCAAAAAAGCCATCCTCATACTTTTACCTACCTGGTTTCACCAAAGTCTCCCAGACCAGACTCCCAAGACTTTTGTCAGTAATTTTCAGTTGGATTGGTTCCTTCATCTGCCCAGCGTAGACTTTAGAGAAGGGCTGGATCTCTCCAGGGCTCCTGTAGCATAATTTCAACTCCTAGAGGAAGCATACCACTTATCTTTAAGCAGTGGAGAGTGGAAAAGAATGGTTCCCTAGAATGGGCAAGCCAATGGAATTTAACCTCTGTTTTTTACATACATCCCATGGCTGTTTGAAGGCTAAATGGATGGAGAGAGGTCATCATGCTTTTACGTTTATAATTTGAGGAAATATAATTATCCCATGGAAGGAAGAGTATCCTTGGGCTCAACTGCCCATGGTCAGAGAAAAAATTGTCTGAGCTACTAACTGAATATAAACTTTAAAGTTCTTGAGGCGCTTCATCAACGATGTCAGCAGAACAGAATCTGAGGCTCTTCAGAAAAGTTAGAGTCCTGTCAAGGGAACCTCATCAGTCCTCACTCAGCCTAACTGAGAACATTAAGGGCCATTTCAGATCACTCTGCTCTGTACCCTACTCCCTCAGGATTCCTAGGGACTGTTGCCATGGGGGAATTGGCGCTAACTTCCTGGCCAGGACAGAATGAAGAAAAGTTTGGCTGAAGCAAGTCTAGTTCCTTCTGGAGACAAACCTCACAGCTCTTGGAAAATAATAATAGTAAAAAAATTGTCAGAGGTAAAATAATTAGTTCTCAATCTTTCAGATGGGAGATGGTTCTGAGGAGTATTTACCTTGCTCAAGATTATTTATCACCTCGTGTTAAAATTTTTCATTTCATTGCTCATGTTTACAATATTCTACTCTCACAGGAACACACTGTGTCTTATTCATCTCTGTATCACCAATGGTTATGGCAAGTCCTGCAACAGCCAAGGATGTATCTTGCCGGAGGACAACCAAGTATCTGAGAGGCACTTCCTGCTCTGAATGGTTGATTCAGAGGGTTTTGTTGTTGTTGTTAAGAATATACACAGCAAAATATACACCAGTTCAACAGTTTCTACATATACAATTCAGTGTCATTGATTACATTCTTCAAATTGTGCAACCATTCTCACCCTCCTTTTCTGAGTTGTTTCTCCCCCATTAATATAAACTCACAGCCCCTTAAAGTTCCTATCTAAACTTTAGAGTTGCTGTTGTCACTTTGATCTCATATACATAATTCTTAAAAGAGCATAATACTCAGGGCAGACATTTTTTACTAGTTAAGCTAAACTATTGTTTGTTTTTAAGAAGATATTGTTTGGTTTTTGGGAGATATTTCTGGTTTAAGGCTTAAAGTTTATCTCAGGGCAATAGTTTCAAGGATTCATCCAGCCTGCATGACTCCATGAAGTCTGGAGTCCATGAGAATTTGAAATTCTGTTCTACATTTTTCCGCTTTTGATCAGACTTCTACAGAATCTTTGATCAAAATGTTCAGTAATGGTAGGCAGGCGCCATTCAGTTCTTCTGGTCTCATGGCAAAGGAGGCAATTTTTCATGGAGGCAACTAGCCATGCATTTCATTTCCTCCCCCATTCCTGAATCTCTTCCTTTCACTATTGCTCCAAATAGATACTAATTGTTGCACCTTGGATGATTCAGAATTTTTTAAGGGAATTGGGAACTACAAGCAGACCAAGAATAGACACTTGATTGTATCTTTATGATGTGGTTGTTGTTGTTGTTGTTAGGTGCTATCGAATTGACTCTGACTCATAGTGACCCCATGTACTACAGAACGAAACACTGCCTGATCCTGCATCATCCTCAGAATCGTTGTTATGCTTAAGCCCATCCCTGCAGCCACCACGTCAAATGATCTCGTTGAGGGTCTTCCTCTTTTTCTTGGACCCTCTACTTTACCAAGCATGACGTCCTTCCTTGGGAACTGATCCCTCCTGATAACATGTCCAAAGCATGTGAGATGTAGTCTTGCCATCCTTGCTTCTAAGGAGCATTCTGGCTGTACTTCTTCCAAGACGTATTTGTTCATTCTTTTGGTTGTCCATAGTATATTCAATATTCTTTGCCAAAACCGTAATTCAAAGGCATCAATTCTTTGGTCTTCTCTATTAATTGTCCAGCTTTCACATGCATATGAGGTGATTGAAAACACCATGGCTTGGGTCAGGCACACCTTCATCTTTAAGGTGACATCTTTGCTTTTCAACACTTTAAAGGGATCTTTTGCAACAGACTTGCCCAAAGCAGTGCGTCATTTGATTTCTTGACTGCCGCTTCCATGGGTGTGGATTGTGGATCCAAGTAAAATGACATTCTTGACAACTTCAGCCTTTTCTCCATTTATCATGATGTTGCTTATTGGTCCAGTTGTGATGATTTTTGTTTTCTTTATGTTGACATGTAATGCATATTGAAGGCTGTGGTCTTTGATCTTCATCAGTAAGTGATTCAAGTCCTCTTCACTTTCAGCAAGCAAGGTTGTGTTAACTGCACAACGCAGGTTGTTAATGAGTCTTCCTCCAATTCTGATGCCCTGTTCTTCTTCATATAGTCCAGCTTCTCGGGTTATTTAATCAGCATACAGATTGAATAGGTATGGTGAAAGCATACAAATCTGATGCACACATTTCCTGACTTTAAACCATGCAGTATCCGCTTGTTCTGTTTGAACAACTGCCTCTTGATCTATGTACAGTTTCCTCATGAGCACAATTAAGTGTTCTGGAATTTCCATTCTTCTCAATGTTATCCATAACTTATGATTCACACAGTCGAATGCCTTTGCATAGTCAATAAAACACAGGTAAACATCTTTTTGGTATTTTCTACTTTCAGCTAGGATACATCTGACAATGGCTATGATACCTCTCATTCCACATCCTCTTCTCAATCCAGCTTGAATTTCTGGGAATTCCCTGTCGATGTACTGCTGCAGCAGCTTTTGAATCATTTCAGCAAAATTTTACTTGCATGTGATATTAATGATATTGTTCGCTACTTTCCACATTCGATTGGATCACCTTTCTTTGGAATGGGCATAAATATAGATCTCTTCCTGTCAGTTGGCCAGGCAGCTGTCTTCCAAATTTCCTGGCATAGATGAGTGAGAACTTTCAGCTCTGCATCTATTTGTTGAAACATCTCAATTGGTATTCCATCAATTCCTGGGGCCTTGTATTTCGCCAATGCCTTCAGTGCAGCTTGGACTTCTTCCTTCAGTACCATTGGTTCCTGATCATATGTTACCTCATGAAATGGTTCAATGCTGACCAACTCTTTCTGGTATAGTGACTCTGTATTCCTTCCATCTTCTTTTGATGC